AGAAAGCCCTCCTTGCTGATCTTACCAGCTCCACCACACACAAAATTCAATTAATCCAAAACTCCACCTGGAGTTATTCAGCAATGATACGTCAGAGTCAAGTTGAGCAAGTTTATAAAAAACAGCTTGATGCTATGATCGGAAGATAGTAAGGTGGTTATTCTGGAAGGATGAGAGCAAATGGTCCTTTTTCATCAGAACCAATCTTGTGATGACAGAATTCAATTTCTGAATGATCGTCATTTATTCTGAAGTAGTTTTTTGTGTCTTTTTTCCCCAAAAAACTCTTGTTGTTTGTTGCACAACTATAGAAGAGATTAATAAAATGTGTTGGCCTCGAGTGCATCAGGATTTATAAGTGTTGAGTATGTACTGGACAATCTGATGCTTGGCAGGGAGTTCAAAGCCAGCAATGCATTTCAACAATTTTTTTTAGTTTTGCCAATTTTCTCGCTTTCTTCTCCCATTTTATGATCTCAGCCAGGAACAGTGGTTAGAAGCTCTCTAGCTGGCCTCTTAACCCATCAAGAGCATCCAGAGTATAGATACTGTATTGCTTACAAATACAATTATTAGACTACAATAAATCATGTGAAATGTTTTGAGACTTTCCAATGTGATTAGGTGCTACATCAAATGCAAGGATTATTTTATTGCTATTCCATTTCCCCCCCCCTCTGAGATAAACAAGTCATGTTTAAAAAAGAATAGTTTCATATTTAAATGATAGTTTGGATTCAAAAATAATAATCATAGTCTTTAACAGTGCTTTTCACATGAGAAAGTCTCCAAGCTCTTCACTGTATTTATTGTAAAGTGTAGAAAACTGTGGGCAAACTAGGCAGCCAATTTGTGTGCACAGTGCCCCACAATTCGCTAGGCGGTCCATGACCAATTTTAACCAGGGGATTGTCGGCCAGGAACGTGGTGAAACGAAGAATAATTGATGAAAAAAAAATCACCTAATATAGGAATATTTCCCGAAGTATGAATTTCCCAATATTTTCACCAAGGGAAATGACTTGTGCTGGCCTTACTTCTGATCCTGATCACTGCTCTATGGAAAATGGCTAAATATTACAAACATAGTTACACGATCACCTTGGCTTGAAGCTGCAACCGCGGGTAACTTCTTACCACTGGGAGAAGATCTGATCGGACCGGTCCACCCATTGAGGGCTTTCTCTTGCAAAGTTAGCGCTTGGAAGTGGTCGAGCGATGCGATCTCCTGAATGAGATGATAAAACTGATGTCCCGTCTGCGTCAACAACAACAACAAGATTCCATTTATAGAGCGCATTTCATGGCGGGAGGACGTCCCAAGGCACTGTACAGTTGGGTCAGGAGCCGAGCAGGGGGGGAAATGGTCAGGGTGAGGGAAGGGAGGGAGCGAGGAGGGGGTAGAGAGTCAAAAGGGGAGCTGAAGGCACGGTCAAAGAGAAAGGTCTTGAGACCGGCCTTGAAGGAGGAAAGGGAGGAGGCAAGGCGAAGGCACTGGGGGATAGAGTTCCAGAGCCTCGGGGCTGAGAGACTGAAGGCCCGGCCACCGATGGTAGGGCGGTTGGGGCGGGGGATGTGGAGCAGACCGGAGCCAGAGGAACAGAGGACAGGTAGGTAGGGGGATAGTAGGTCGGAGAGGTAGGAGGGAGCGAGGCCGTGAATGGCCTTGTAGGTGAGGATGAGGATCTTGAATTCGATCCTCTGGGGGATGGGGAGCCAGTGGAGGCGAGCGAGGGTGGGAGTGATGTGGTCGCGAAGCCTGGTGCGGGACAGTACACGAGCTGCAGAGTTCTGAATGACCTGCAGTGTGGAGGGAGGTGACGGGAAGGCCGGCAAGGAGAGAGTTCCCATAGTCCAGCTTTGAGGTGATAAAGGCGTGGACCAGAGTTTCAACAGCGTGAGGGATGAGGTAGTGCCGTAGTCTGGCGATATTCCGGAGGTGATGGAAGGCGGTGCCAGTTGTGGCGCGGATATGAGGGAGAAAGGACAGCTCAGGGTCGAACAGAACCCCGAGGTTCCTGATGACTTTGAGAGTTGGAGAGTGCAGCCTTGGATGCTGATGGTGTTGGCGCCTGAGGTGCGGAGGCACTGACGTGAGCCAATCAGGAGGGCCTCAGTTTTACGCACATTGAGCTGAAGAAAGTTGTCTCTCGTCCAGGACTCGATGTCGGACAGACAGCTGTCAGGACATCGGGGGTCGTGGAGTTGAGGGTAGAGGAGGAAAGGTAGAGTTGGGTGTCATCCGCATACATGTGGAAGTTAACCCCATGTCTGCGGATGATGTCACCAAAGGGGGAGCATATAGAGGGTGAAGAGGAGGGGACCGAGGACAGAGCCCTGAGGGACACCACACGGGACAGTGCAGGGGCTGGAGGAAAAGCCATTTGTGGAAACAAAGTGAAGACGGTGGGAGAGGTACGACCTAAACGACTCAAGGACAGGGCCTTGAAGGTTGAGGTGGGAGGACAAGCGGTGGAGGAGGATAGCATGGTCGACCGTATCGAATGCTGCCGATAGGTCGAGGAGGACAACAACAAGATTCCATTTATTGAGCGCCTTTCACGTCGGGAGGACGTCCCAAGGCGCTGTACAGTTGGGTCAGGACCCGAGCATTGGGGGGAAATGGTCAGGGGGAGGGAAGGGAGGGAGCGAGGAGGGGGTAGAGTGTCGAGAGGAGAGCTGAAGGCTCGGTCAAAGAGAAAGGTCTTGAGACCGGCCTTGAAGGAGGAAAGGGAGGAAGCGGCGAAGGCACTGGGGGATCAAGTTCCAGAGCCTAGGGGCTGAGAGACTGAAGGCCCGGCCACCGATAGTAGGGTGGTTGGGGCGGGGGATGTGGAGCAGACCGGAGCCAGAGGAACAGAGGGTACGGGCGGGTAGGTGGGGGGATAGTAGGTCGGAGAGGTAGGAGTGAGCAAGGCCATGAATGGCCTTGTAGGTGAGGGTGAGGATCTTGAATTCGACGAGGAGGCAGAGGGAGCCCTGGTCACAGATGGTCAGGATGTCATTGGTGACTTTGACCAGGGCGGTTTCTGTGCTATGGGCAGCACGGAAACCCGACTGAAGGGGTTCAAATAATGAGTGGGTGGAGAGGAAAGAGCGCAGCTGGGAGGCGACAACTCGTTCCAGGACCTTGGACAGGAAGGGGAGGTTGGAGATGGCCGGTAGCTTGATAGCTGCGACGCATCAAGGGAGGGTTTTTTCAAGGTGGGAGTAATGGTGGCAGTTTTTAAGGGAATGGGAACAGAGCCAGAGGAGAGGGACAGGTTGATGATGTCTGTGATATGTGGGGCAAGGAGGTGGAGCTGGGAGATAAGGAGTGGAGTGGGGATGGGGTCAAGGGAGCAGGTGGTGGGTTTCAGGGATAGGATGAGTTTGGTGACAGAGGGTGGAGAAACGGGTACGAAAGTGTGTAGGGGAGGATAGGTAGGAGTCGGAGTGTGGGAGGGGTGGGGTTGGGTGGATGTTGGAGGGGAAGTGACCGCAGAGCGAATTCCCATGACTTTGGATTCAAGGAAATCCAGCATCTCCTCGCAGTGAAGGTTGGAGCAGATGACCTGCGCGGGGTGGCGGAGGAGTCGGGATGTGGTAGAAAACAGTAGCCTGGGGTTGTTCTTCGCCTCCAGGATTATCCTGGAGTAGAAGGACGACTTGGCCGAGGCTAGAGTGGAGCGGTAGATTTTGAGGAGGTCCAGCCAGATTTGTCGGTGGACCGTTAGGCCAGATTTGACGCAGGTGCGTTCAGCGGCCCACACCTGGCTCTTCAGTGAGCGGATGTGGGTGGTGAACCAGGGGGAGGAGCGGGAGTAGGAGACAGTACGGGAGGTGATGGGGGCAAGAGTGTCAAATGTTGAGGAGAGGGTGTTGTAGAGGAGGGTGAGAGGAGAAGAGGGGTCAATGAGGGTTGAAGGCCAGAGGGAGAGGAGTTCAGAGGACTCCAAGGCAGCGGTTAGGGATTGTGGGGGTAACTTCTTCAAGGGGCGGTAGAAGATGGTGGTGGGTCTGGTGGAGGTGGGGAGGGGGGGTGGAGGTGGTGAAGGAGATGAAGTGGTGGTCGGACACGGCCTTGTCGGTGATGGTGACATCCGAGACACTGAGGCCCCGGGTGATCACCAAGTCGAGCGGGTGGCCGTGACTGTGAGTGGGGGAGTTGACGTGGAGGGAGAGGTTGAGCGAGGAGAGCAGGGAGGAGCAGTCCGAGGAGATGGAGCAGGAGGGGGTGAAGTGCAGGTTGAAGTCGCCCAGGATGATGAGGCGATCAGAGCAGAGGCAGAGAGATGTAAGAAGTGTCGAAATATCGGAGATGAAGGTGGGAGAGGTTTTAGGGGGTCGGCAGAGGAGGAGGATTTTGAGCGAGAGGAAGGAGGGGTGGGAGAGGGTGAGGTGCTCGAAAGCGTCCCGTTCAGGCGGATGTTAAAGATACTACTACTACTCAAAACAATAATCCTTGCATTTGATATAGCACCTGATCACGTCTTCGAGACGTCTGTCTCAAAGAATATACTGCAAAGCGACCGTACATTTTGTCGGCGAGACGCGGCGTCGTGTAAAGGAGGGAAGAGCTGCCCTTTAAGTCGGGTGCAGAGGGAGTGTTGGTGTCTTGAACCGCACGGCCCTCTTCAGAGACCAACCGTGGACGTGACACCTGTCTGACCGGACTGCGGCCAACCGCCACAGCGCGCGCCTCGCGCTCTGAAAAGGGTTCGAAAAAGGCGACGGTTGGCGCGGCCGGAAGATGGCGGGCGGCACGCGGTGCCGGCCCGCGCCCCGATTGGCCGGGCACGGGCACGTGACCTGCGCGCGCCAGCGGTGGCGGCTTGTAGTTTTTTCACGGGCGCCAGTCGCGGCGGCCATTTTGTCAATGGTCGGGCGCTGCCAACGAAGGAGCTTTTTCAAGGAGCGACGAGCCCGCGGTTTCCGCTGCGCTTTCTTTTTTTCTTGCATCCCGCCCAGTCTCTTTGCACGCCCGCCCGCCTTCGGACCTTCCTCCCTCCCTCAGCTGGCGGAGCAAGTTGGAGGTGGTGGCCGGGTTGCGCGGGGAGGGGAGGGGCCGGGCGCCCCGGTGCGGTCTCCCGACTCGGCCGCCGCCGCCGCTGCTTCCCGTACCCCCTCCTCATTCTTCCTCTCCCATCTACATTCATCCATCTCCTCCGCGTTCAGCCGTGTCTCCCCAGACGGGAGGCTGCCCCGGATTCCGAGATGGCAGTTGCAGGTACTGTAGGATGAGGGAACGGCCAGCAGCCTTTCAGTTCCCGGCCGGACTGGACTGCGCGCCTCTCGTTGCTGCTTGGCTCGGGGGGGGGGGCAAGTGCCCCACGCCGCGTTAACAGCCGTCAGGCGGGGGGCCAACCTGCAGCCCGGTGCAACTTCACCACCTGCATAAGTCGCCGCCAACCACCACCACCACCACCATCATCATCATCATCTTCTTCTTCTTCCCGGGAGATTGCGAACCAGCAGCGCAGAGTTCAGTCCAAAGCCACACCGAACCGCACCAACTGCATGCAGATGAGGTAATAGTTGTTTCCCAGCCATTTGCAGCGTTTTATTGGTCGCAACAAAAAAAAATTAAGGAAGAGTGAGAGAGAGAGAGAGAGAGAAAAAAGCCGAGTTGAGTGCACGCGTTGCATTAAGGATATAACGGTGTGAGGATCGCAGTAATCCTCCTTCCTTCCCCCCCCCCCATTATTTTTAGTCCCTGCACTCACTTAACCGTGCGTGGATCATAACCGGTGGTAATTCGCACTCTTTAGGAAATAAACTTTTATGTACCTTCGGGTTAAATGGTGCGCGAAGTATCTACCCCCTGTTGGATTTTTCCCTTTCTCCTCCTCCTCCCCATGCTCAACGTTAATTTTATTATCCCTCTGACCTAAGTTTCGAAGGAATCCTAAAGGCCACACGAGGTCCTCCCTCCCCGTTGCTTGTTTTGTTTGTGCTGGACTGTCATGGAGGTACTGTACTGCCCTGTAACATTGCCGAAATGTCCTGGTTACATGCTTTTTAAGCTCCAATGACATTTTGTTGGGGGTTGGGAGATGGAGGAGCAGAAAAAATGCTGGTAGATGAATCCGTTTACTGTACATAATGGTTTGAGGTCACAGTAGTAAAGGTAGATTTTTTTTTAGAAACGGGTTAGTGAGATGAGTTAATTTTTTTTAGCGTTGAAGTGTTAGAATTGTTTTTTAACAGCAAATAAAAATATCTTCCACAATAATAAAACGGTCAGCAATTCACCCCTGAGAGTAATTCAGCTGGTATGGCAACTTTAAAAGAAAGCAAAAACACTTTTCAGCAGGAATTTGGTAATTAAATGATGTTAGTAGTTTAATGTACTGATGTTTACGTTGAAGGAATTGGTCGAATTAAGTGCCATTGTGAACAGTCTTTTAAAAATAATAATCCTTGCATTTGGTATATGGGTAGCAGGTCACAGAGGTAGGAAGGAGCAAGGCCTTGAAGGTTAGGATGAGGATTTTGAACTCCATCCTCTGGGGGATGTGGAGTCAGGCCGAGGTTGGGGGTGATAGGGTCACGGAGCCTGGTGGGGGAGAGCCTGGCCTGGATTAGAGTACACCCTTCGGTCTATCCAGACATCTTTTAAATATTCTCAGTGGTCTTAATTCCCAGTTTCTCTTGGAGTTTTGTACTCACACCTGTACGAAAGGTGTGTATACCTGTGGTGGTGGTTCAATTTGTTGTCGTGGCAACCCCCCCTTCCCCCCCAAATCTATACTAGGCAGGGAGTGGTAGATAGTTTGAAGCTGCTTGTAGAATTCTGGAGCCAGATGGATTTGAAGAAGTATTTTTTATCATCTATTAAGGTACCACATATAATACAAATATGGAGAAATGTCAATTCCTCAGAACAACATTCAAGGAGGAGATGTTCCTTTGTCAAAAATTCTACTAGAAATATTTCAGACTCTTAAAAGTGCTATTAGTTTTACATATAGTTGTTCAATTTGTGAGCAAATTTTGCAGCAGTAGCATTCTTAAGTTTCCTATTACTTGTATTCATTTAGCCAGAAGACCAAATGATCAATGTCTGTCATAAATCAAAGTTGCTGACTAGTGTCCAGCATTTAACAACACAAATGGAATCAGCATTTTTGCTTTAACATTTTAACGCCAAGTTTTGGTGTATTTTTAGAAAACCGCTCTGAGCTCCTCAGTTGAATTCACTTGTCCAGGCACTGTTTTCTAGGTCAAGGGGTAGGTTAACTTAAAATCACTTTTTGCTGCATTAGAAAATACAAAAAGGTTTGCTGAACACAGTGTTAAAGCGGGGACTCACTGTTTATTGGGAGCATACATGTGTTAATTTGTGTTTAGTTAAATTTACTACCTGGAGTGTATTCGGTACTCCAGTGCAGTGCCAGAGACTGTGCATTGTCAGAAGTGCCTGTTTAGATAGATAATACAAATTCTGGAACTATTTGAAAAGTAAAGGAGGTTTCTCCTGGTGTCCTAACCAATAATCTTCCAGATAAAATTGGGCTGTTTGTGTAGATTAACTACTGATTTTACCTACAAAATAGACGGTCACTTTGCTTGATAGCAATTAATTGTGAAATGTTTCAGATCTTTTAATGTCATAGCCACAATATCAAATGAAAAGATTATAATTATTATTTGTCAAAATACCAAGAGTTCTGCTGGAGTAGAAATTCATTAAATAATTCAGGTTTTAGCAAATTGTTTTACTTGTTAATGAAAAGCCTTGTGTGCTTTGATCAGTATGTTTAGAGCAGGTTTTCAGATAGATTGCCACCCTTTTTTTTTAAAAAAAACTTGCCTGAAAAATTATTAAGCTTGAATGATACACTTGAGTTGTAGCCACCATTAGACCATAGAATTTGCAACACAATAGTGCAGTGTAGGTTATGTGCATTTCTTAAATGTTTTACACAAGCAACTGTCTTTCTTTAAAGATCAGTTTCAGGAAAAGCACAAGGAGCAGAATGTTTTCAGATTGTTGAAAGAAAGAGATTATGTTTACATGACTGTTCAGTCTCTTGATTTTGCAAAAATTGTAGACCGCATGTAGTTGAGAAATGTTTCTGTTTCAAATTGGCGCAGTCCTTCAAAAAGAAAATTTTAAAAAAAGAAAATTTAAAAAATCAGTAGCATAGATTATATGATTCCTAAAACTGCTGGAGCTCCTCTCCTGTAAAGTGTTTGATACATGCACTCCTGTTGTGGCACTGGGCCAATAAACCAAGAAGATGCTATGTTTGATGCTGAGTTTGTTGAATTTAGCAGGGGCAGTGGAAGGAGTTTCACCTTTGTGCTGTAGAGAGAAAAAAAAACACAGTTCTTGCTCTGATGGTTCGCTGATGGTGTTTTGTATGTATGTTGAATGAGCACCAGATCAATCTTAGCTATGTTACTGTGATTGAATAACTTGTTGCACTTATTGTCTAGATTAAAAGTCAAATAATGTTTAGTTGGACAAGATACCAGAGTGGTACCTGTGCTTTTTTTAACTGTCCCAGTATGAGTTACTTAGAATATTTTTTCCAGAATCCACACCCAGTACTTTTTTAAGCTCTTGATAAATATTTCTCAACAATTATAACTACCCCCATTTGTCCTTCAGCTTTGTTTAATATTATTGGAAGCATGAATTCATGACCTTTATAAAATAAATAATTCTACAGTTAAAGGCTTTGAGACATCCTTTTGATGTGAAAGGTGCTATATTAATGCAAATTATTTGAACATGTGTATGTTATGGTGTGATACATGTTCAGAGAATAGTTGGTTCATTTTGACAGGTAATTTATAGCTTTTTGATTTGGTGTGCCTTATAACAGAATTTTTAATTTAAAATTGTAATTTTGGCTCGCCTACCAAACCAATTTTGGTATGGTTCTTGTATCCAAGACTGGTTAAAAATAGGAAATATTATTCTTGGTATAAAAATTGTGCCCTAGTTACAAGGACTGTGTAATCTTAGCACACAAAAATGACCACTGCAGTATAAGCTAGGCTGATTGATTGCACATTCAGTGTGTCAGTGCCTGCCTTCATAATTTTAGTTGTAATATTTTTGAACCATTGGGAGATTGCATCTTTGAAATCTGACAACGTTACATCATTGTCAAACTTACAACTGACTTCCAAGTCTGTTACTATATTAGATGTGACAAAACCACCTCATGATATAAAGCTGGCAGTTGATANTTTTTGCAGGATGATGTAATTTGTGATTCAGGAAATGAGGTGGCAAGAAATGTTAATTTTAAAGCCCCGTGTTGAAATTGCACACTTTTAGTAAATAGCCTAATACTGTAATGCAATTGTGAAAAGCTGATTTTCTGTTTTAAGTATAATTTGCGCACTGTTTGCGTTTGCTTGCTACCACATTTTCAAGGTTGGGGTTAAGTGCAATGTTTTTAAAATGATGATAAGCAGTATAAAAGAAGAGCATTTATGATGTTGTTTCCCAAGAAGCTGTGTTGGAACATTTGTCATTGCAATATTGCACAACAATTGATTGTTCAATATTTGAGATGGTCTAAAGAAGCACAAAATAACTATTTTAAACATTTAAATTAAGTCTCCCATTTAAAATGAAATCATTGCTTAGAGCGGACTATACATTTATTTTGGATGGGAGGTATTAAACTACATCTTTCTGCTTTTGTCATAGAGCATTTGTATATTTTGTACCTGTAAACAAAGTGACAAGACATCTGAGCATGTTATGGGTCTAGAGAATCCTAGCATAACCACAGCATGTGTCATTGGTTCTCTTTGCTCTTTGTTAGGTGACTCGCCAATTTTTTTCCTTCAATCACATGTTCAGAGGATTAAAAGTCCAGAAAATCCGTATTAAGAGAAACGGTATTCAACATTTTTTTTCTACATTTGTAGTAGATATGCCAGTTTATTTTGCTTTGATAGTTTGTGCTTTTGAACTTGTGCTTTGATATGATGGTAAAGGAGGACCTTGCTAGTTGAGAACCTTTTATTCTGTTGGAAGTGACAGCAGTACCCAATAATTGTTGCTCAGATCAGCTTTGGAAGCAAATGATAACTTTATCTGATTTAGTAATTTGAGTAGAGCCTCTCTAATGTACCAAGTTCAGTTACTTTAATGTCAGATTAACTCGACATTTGGTGCTTCAAAGTTGATAGAAATTTGAATATTATTTAGCTGTACTGAACGGGCAGTACTAAAATAATTGGTCAGCCATGGTGTATTTCATCCATAAATCACAGCATACTAAACTGTTATCATATAAAAAGCAGTAAATTCTCCAATGTTAAATCTTCAAACAAAAGAAAGGAACATATTTGATGGAGATAGTAAGTTTCAAGAATACAACATTGTATGCATGAAGTTTCTATAAGCACTGGACAAGCAAATATTATCGAAGATGAATCAACAAAAAAACCTTAGGAAAAAACGTGACTGTTCAAAAAGATGATGTTAGCAGAGAGTCCACCAGAGCAAGCTGGGAGCGGAGTGAGGGTCAGACTCTGCCGCAGTCAAGTGCTCCGG